AGCCCAAAAAGTTTTAAAAGAAAAAGTTTCACTTCCTTGCGAAACTCTTTTGGAAACGTTTCCACGTAGTTCTCATGTGCGAAACATTTCTCAAATACTAATTGAGAGAATTTTTTTTTTTTTTTTTTCCCCCCGGATCTCCATTGACGGCACATTCGCTAGATATTTTTTTCCCGAAAGTGGGACTTAAATTGGCACTAATTCATGGACCCACTATAAGGATCCATTTAGTTCTACTGTTTTTAATTCATAATTTTAATTTCGCTTTCTCACAAAAGAAAATTGTATAAAAAAGTTTCAGAATTTGACCACGTAAACTAAACAGACCATTATAATACCCTCGCCGTTGTTTTTCAAATTGTCATATTTCATATAAGAGTCTAACAGTTTTAAGTATATTTATCTAACTTGTGAAAACAGACAATACTGATAGAAACCCGAATCATAAAAAGAACCTTAATAAAAATAGGGTATCAACAATATTTACGAATCTTACAAAGACATGCAGATAAATGTCAAAAGTATTCGATAATATAAATCAAACTATTCTATGATATATAAAAATTCATCTAATCATGATTCGTGCTAATGATTCGAATCATGATTCGTGATTCACTATAGTATTTTTTTTCTCACAAAAAATACACGTAAATCGAGAATGATTATGAATTATAATTCTGAATTTATGAACCAAACCTCTTTTCTTAAAACGAAACTATATTTTGATGAACATATGGATCTAAATTAATTGCTATATGCCATCAGTTTTGTTGCCGACAAGCCGTGGGAGGAAAAAGAAAAATAACAAACAAAAAACTCATTTCTTGAAACTACAAGATTAGATAAATCAATTCAAAGCAATACAGTCCTCTTGCATTAGCATTTTTCTTTTCTTTTTTCTGATGGATGAAATAAGAAATCACCTGATGAAATTCTCCCGGTAAAATTGTGGCTAGAGAAATCGTGGTCAATCCTTCATCAAAATAATTTTCTCCTCATTTACGTCAAGAAAATGAAGAGAAATCCCGAGAAAACGAATCACAGAAATAAATGTGGGGTGTTTGGAATCTGAGAAAATTCATTAATGATACACGTTGATCTGGAAATCCCTATTTATAGTAACTTTTTGTTTTGTTTTGTTTTTTTTTTTTTTTCCAGTTAAATGGAATGCCACCAGCCTAGGCTAATTTGTTTCATACGTAATGTTTGTTGATCTTTGTAATTAATTCCTGATTTTTGGCTTCAAACGCGCAAAGATAGGTAAAACAATGTGCCCAATAATTAAAGGTAGAGGATGAGAAACACGCGTTATTTAGCTTGAAAATATTACCACCATTTCCAATGATATTGGGTGGTGTTACGGTGTTATCTACATAATATATATGCACGGAACATTTTGTTGCCTTTCAAAAAAAATAAAAATAAAATAAAAAAAAAGAGATTAGCTATATCAATATTTATACATGGTTGTCGGCATTTTAGATATTGTTATTTTGTTATTCTGTTATAGTTTGGTTATTTAGTTTTAGCCTAAGGCTTGTATATAAAAGGTTAAGCATGTATCATTATCAGATTATTCAATACAGGAAAATTTATTTTTCCACTTTCTGGTTTTCCTTCGTAATATGGTATCAGAGCACGCAAATCTCTGCTGCTCGTTTCCATTTTGATTCTTCTGGATTTCCTTTGATTTCAGCTATTCTGTTGTTTGTGTTCCTTCCGTTCAAGATTTACTTCATCAATCATGGAGTCTCAAAATTCCGCTTCAACAAATTCATCCACTGGCAGATCCGCCATTGATGATCCTCTCAGTCCTTTCTTCCTTCATCATTCCGACAGTCCAGGTCTTATTCTTGTCTCGCAACAGCTCACCGGTGATAATTACGCTTCTTGGAGTCGTGCGATGACGATTGCCCTTTCCGTGAAGAACAAGCTCGGATTCATCAATGGATCTGTTCCACGACCTGACGGTACCGACTCGAATCTCCTCTTGGCTTGGATTCGCAATAATAATATTGTCATATCCTGGATCTTGAATTCGGTTTCGAAAGAAATCTCTGCGAGCATTCTATTTTCCAATTCTGCGTTTGAAATTTGGAACGATCTTCAAGATCGCTTCCAACAGAGCAATGGCCCTCGGATTATTCAATTGCGACGAGAATTGATTAACCTAGTTCAGAATTAACAGTCTGTGAATGTCTATTTTACAAAATTGAAGGCTTTATGGGAGAAATTGTCTAATTTCAAACCTGCCTGTACTTGCGGCAAATGTTCTTGTGGAGGAGTTAAAGATTTGGTCAATTTCTTTCAGATGGAGTATGTGATGTCGTTTCTTATGGGTTTAAATAATTCTTTTGCCCATACTAAGGGCCAAATTCTTCTCTTAGATCCTCTTCCGCCTATCAACAAAGTCTTTTCTCTGGTGTCTCAAGAAGAACACCAACGGAGCATTAATTCAGGGGGACTTGATTCTGCTAGTCAGAATATGGCCTTTGCACTTCGAACTGCTCCTCCTAAGCGTTCTCCTTCTGATGCTCAGAACTATGGAAATGGCATAGGTCAACGAAAAGAACGACTATTTTGCACTCATTGCAATTTCCACGGTCACATAATTGAAAAGTGTTATAAGCTTCATGGCTTTCCACCTGGATACAAACCGAAGCCAAAGTTTCCAACTACAAATGTGCATCAAGTTTCTGCTCATCCTGGTTCAGATGTTAACACTGGACAGAGTGGTGCACAAGTGGATGGTTTTCTCAAAACTCTGAATGGCGACCAGTATCAACATCTCATGACGATGCTTTCCACTCATCTCATATCCTCTGTCAAGACTTCTGATGCCCAGGATACTTCTTCAGTTTCATACACAGCAGGTATATGCTCTTCTGTATCTATGAATTCTGTTTTGTCCTCTGTGCACTTTTGGATAGTGGATTCCGGAGCTTCCAAACATATTTGTTCCAATGCCAACTTGTTTATCTCTTTGAAGCCAATACAGAACTCTTTTGTTACTTTGCCAAATAAGACTGTTATTCCTGTTCGATTGTCTGGGGATGTTAAACTGGATTCTTTGCTTCTCAAAGATGTTCTATTTGTTCCTCAATTCCACTACAATCTGCTTTCTGTCAGTGCTCTTATTGCCGATTCATCTCTTATCATTAGTTTTTTTCCTGGTTACTTCGTAATTCAGGATCCCACCAGCCAGAAGATGATTGGCAGGGGTGATCAATTTGCAGACTTATATGTTTTGGACGCCAGGAATTTGGATGCTGGATGTTTAGCAGGTTCATCGAACATAAGGAATGTTTCAATTTCATATTCTAGTGCTTTAGCAATTGTTAATAAGGTTTCCGCCACTGTTTGGCACAATAGACTTGGGCATCTTTCTTCTAGTGTTTTACACTCATTGAAATCTCAGCTAAAATGTGATTTTTCCAAGTGTAATCCCAATGACATTTGCTACGTTTGCCCTTTAGCTAAACAAAGACGATTGCCTTTCATCTCTAATAATCATATGTCTTCATCTCCCTTTGATTTGATTCATTGTGATGTATGGAGACCTTATCATACATCTGCCCATTTTGGTTATAGATACTTTTTGACTATTGTGGATGATTGCACTAGATTTACCTGGATCTTTATGATGAGACAAAAATCTGATGTTGCTATAGCTATTCCTAAGTTTTTTACTATGGTTGACACTCAGTTTCATAGTAAAATTAAGAGTTTTCGGTCTGACAATGCAAAAGAGTTGGATTTCAATGCTTTTTTCAGTAATCAAGGGGTTTTACATCAATATTCATGTGTTGATACACCACAACAGAACTCAGTCGTTGAAAGAAAACATCAGCACCTTTTGAATGTTGCTCGTGCCTTGTTCTTCCAGTCTCGAGTTCCAGAGAATTTTTGGAGTGAATGTGTACTTACAGCCACTTACTTAATCAATCGCACTCATTCGCCACTTCTTGGACATAAATCTCCCTTTGAATTATTGTATAAAGATGCAGTTGAATACTCATCTCTCAGAGTTTTTGGCTGCCTTGCATTTGCTTCCACTCTTTCTGCCCATCGTACCAAGTTTGATCCTCGGGCTCGCACTTGTGTTTTTGTTGGATATCCTTCTGGTGTAAAGAGGTACAAGCTCTATGATATTCAACTCAAGCAATTTTTTGTCTCTAGAGATGTCATTTTTCATGAATCCATCTTTCCATTTCATTCCGTGACTCATGCTTCTCAGGTGATAGATCCATTTCCTAATCTAGTTTTCCCCTCTCCAGCCCCTGATTTTCCAGCCTCTACATCATTGGCTCCCAGCCTCTCCCGTCCTGTCACTTCAAATGGTCACTCCACACCGCCTATTAGGAGGTCTTCCCGCATCACTAGAGTACCATCCTATTTACAAGAGTATCACTGCAACCTCCTTCATTCTCAACCGCAAGTCCCTGGTTCCACTCCCTTATACCCTTTGTCCGACCATATTTCCTATGAGTCTCTTTATGCCTCACATAAAACCTTTGTCATGAGTGTTTCTTCCAACGTGGAGCCTCGGTTTTACCATCAGGCCATTCCTTTTCAGCATTGGCGCGAGGCTATGCAACTTGAGCTTGATGCCATGGAATCAACTCACACTTGGTCCGTTGTTCCTCTTCCACCGGGTAAGCATTCTATTGGTTGTAAGTGGGTGTATAAGATCAAATACAGGTCGGATGGCTCTATCGAGCGATATAAAGCTCGTTTAGTTGCTAAAGGCTATAATCAGCAAGAGGGCATTGATTTCATTGACACCTTTTCGCCAGTTGCTAAGCTTGTTACTGTCAAGCTCCTCTTAGCTTTGGCTTCCAACCAAAAATGGCATTTAGCTCAATTGGATGTCAACAATGCCTTTTTAAATGGCGATTTAACCGAATAGGTGTACATGGATCTTCCCCTTGGTTATGTTAAAAAGGGGGAGTCTTCAAATTCTACTGATAAGTTAGTTTGCAGGTTACATAAGTCCATATATGGCCTTAAACAGGCCTCCCGTCAATGGTACTCCAAGTTTTCCATTGCCTAGATTAATTTTGGTTTTACTCAATCTAAGTCTGACTATTCTCTTTTTACCAAAGGCTCGGGTACAACTTTTGTTGCTTTACTGGTGTATGTGGATGACATAGTCATCACGAGCCCTTCGCTTGATACTGTTCAACAGTTGAAGTCTTTTCTACACACGCAGTTCAAGCTGAAAGATCTTGGCAGTTTAAAGTACTTCCTTGGTCTTGAGATTGCTCGTTCCTCCTCTGGAATTGTTTTATCTCAGCGACATTACACATTACAACTTCTTGAAGACACTGGTTTTTTGGCTTCCAAACCAGTCTCCGTTCCCATGGATCCCAAGCTTCAACTTAATGCTACAGATGGCGATCTTCTTCCCGAAGCTTCTCAGTACAGACGTCTTATAGGTAGGCTGCTTTACCTCACTTTATCCAGGCCGGGCATCTCTTATGCTGTTCATAAGCTCAGTCAGTTTATGGCTGCTCCTCGTCTGCCTCACCTGCAGGTTGTTCATTACCTTCTCAGATACCTTAAATCCAGGCCTGGGCAAGGTTTGTTTTTTAACTCCACTTCCTCTTTGCAGCTTCGAGCCTTCTCCGATGCTGACTGGGCAGCATGTTCAGATTCGAGAAAGTCAGTTACTGGGTTTTGTGTTTTCCTTGGTGAATCCTTGATATCTTGGAAAGCTAAGAAACAATCCACAGTATCTCGTTCTTCTGCTAAAGCGGAGTATCGAGCCTTGGCTACCGCCACTAGTGAGTTAGTATGGATTCAACAATTATTACGAGACTTTGCTATTCCTACTTCTCCTCCAACGCTTCCATTTTGTGATAGTCAGGCTGCCATACACATTGCTTCGAATCCCATTTTTCATGAACGAACGAAGCATATCGAGATAGACTGTCATTTTGTTCGTGACAAAGTCGCTGCTGGATTTGTCAAGCTTATGCCTATTAGGTCTCAACATCAATTGGCTGATATGTTTACTAAGGCTTTGCCAGCCAGTTCTTTATTTTCTTTGCTGTCCAAGATGGCTATAAAAGACATTTATAGTCCATCTTGAGGGGGAGTTTTAGATATTGTTAGTTTGTTATTCTGTTATAGTTTGGTTATTTAGTTTTAGCCTAAGGCTTGTATATAAAAGGTTAAGCATGTATCATTATCAGATTATTCAATACAGGAAAATTCATTTTTCCACTTTCTGGTTTTCCTTCGTAATAATGATATTTGCCTATCGTCAATGTATGTATTTCCCAATTCTTGCAATATATATTTGTAATTTGCGAATTTCCAATTTTCCATGATATGCCATTTTCAATTCACAATTCCAATGGTCATTATTCACGAGGGGAGGAGCAACTAGCAAATAATCATTCGGGGAAGAGCATTAATAAACTTTGCATCAACATGTATCACAAATGAATTTAGTGAGGTAGCAGGTTTTAGATGTCGTTATTTTTAGTCATTAGCTTTAGCTTTATTTTGTTACTATTCAGTGGTTATTTTGTTTTATTGTCTTGTAAATGGACTATTTATAGCCACTTTCGTTATTCTAATAATTAGACTTGATATATTGAATACAAAATGGGATTGATTGTTGAGTTTTTCTCTCCAATATGGTGGTTTTCTCCTTGTAAGATTTTTTAGGTGGATTCGAGAACTCTCAAGTAGTCATGTTCTCCGTTCCAATTAAGTTGGTAAAATCTATCCTCTTCCATTATCTTGCATCATTATCATCCTTGCAATATATAATTATTGTTTGGGAAATTTCCATGATATGTCATTTTCAAGTCACAAGTCCCATGGTTAATCATGAGGGGAGCAGAAACTAGTAAAAAAAAACGTGAGGGGAGAAGCATTAGACTCTACATCAGCATGTTTCACAAATCAAAGTGCGTACGAGATGAAGAAAATCATCATATTTCGTGGAATAACATTATTGAAAGTTGACCCCTTTTTTCTTTTAGTTTTAGATAATTAACGCATATAATAACTAATCTATTTAGTAAATGACAGTTTACACCTTTATGTTAACATCTGTCAAATTCCTAATAGAAAATCTCACGTGACCCTTCACATGGCTTTATAATGCGGGAAATAATCATAAAAATATCTTGATAAAACTACTAAACGTATTTTTAAAAATAATTTTTGTCTGAGATTAAAAACGTTTTTATTTTTATTTTTATACAAAAATTAAAATTATTTTAGAACAAATTTCAAACACACTCTTTAAGTCATGTTTTCAGTTCCAATTAAGTTGGTAAAATCTATCCTCTTCCATTATGTTGCATCATTATCATCCTTGCAATATATAATTATTGTTTGGGAAATTTCCATGATATGTCATTTTCAAGTCACAAGTCCCATGGTTAATCATGAGGGGAGGAGAAACTAGTAAAAAAAAACGTGAGGGGAGAAGCATTAGACTCTACAGCATGTTTCACAAATCAAAGTGCGTAAATGAATTATTGATTATTTGATTTTCTCCATTTCCTTGCACTATTGAAGATTGCAATTACATATTATAGTTGCTTACACTAACCCTTAACGCGCGCCAAAGGATGTACGAGATGAAGAAAATCGTGCATATTTCGTGGAATGACATTATTGAAAGTTGACTCCTTTTTTCTTTCAGTTTTGGATAATTGACATATATAATAGTTAATATATTTAGTATGTGATAGTTTAATTTTTTTTTAATTTTGACAAAATACATTTTAAATTGTTTAATTAGGTGTAAGTTACACATTTCCCTTAACATCCGTCAAATTCTTAACAGAAAATCTCATGTGACTCTTCACATGGCCTTATAATGCAAGGTATAATCGTAAAAGCATCTTGTTGGTCAAATTTGAGTTGAAATTATTCCTTAAAGCTTGCAACATTCTCTTCTTCTCTGGAGCTTCGCGGCCCTCTCTCCAATGAGTTGATGAGAGATCTTGTTGTTGTTTCTAATGGACAAGTTAGTTTGGACTTGTTCATTTAAACCCAAATTTAAAAAGAATTTGAATTAAGTTACAATTTTATTTAAATTTATGTTCTTTTATAAAATTTGAGTTTGAATTTGAGTTTTAACTTGAGTTTATGGCTAAAATCTGAGTTAAAGTTTATCTTTTAACTCAAGTTTTTAAACTCAAACTCAAGTTAATGAACAATATTTTTTCTGTTCTTAAAAACGTCATAACTTTTTCGTTTAAATTCTGATTAAAATGATTTTTTTATACGTTCACAACAAAGAGACGAATACAATCTCATCCATATACTATATTCAAATTTTTCATCACCATTGAATTTTTATTAAACTACTATTTACATATTAATTTAAATTTTGACTCACCTAAATACAAACTAAAATAGATTTTTAATTTAAAATGTGTATATCTAAACACAAACTCAAATTAAAATCTTAACTCAAATTATATTTAAATACACTTTAATTTAAATTAAAATCTGAACTCAAGTCATTAACTCAAAAAATGTAAATGAACAAGCTCATCATTTGCTTTCAGGACCTTTTTTTTTCTTTTCTTTTTTTTGTTTGGTTTTTTGGAAAACTCGAGAAAATATTGGAAATTGTTTGAAGTTTGGGCGTGAATAGAAATTCGAGCTATAGAGGGCCGTGACGGCGGGGCCGCAATGGGGAGGGGCCATGGCGAGGAGATCTGGTTCGCAGTGGAGAGGGCTGCGATGGGGGGCTCGAAGTGTGGTGGCTTTACGGCGGAGGGATTCCGAATCGCTGCGGTAACAGATCCGATTCGCGGCCTCAACGACTAAACCAAAAAGGTTGAAAATGTGGTATTTGCCTTCAAATCTTCTCTGGCGTTTGGAGAAGAGGGACCCATTCTGGAGGATTCCAAGTTTTTGTTATCCTTTGGTTTGGGGATGGCTACTGTTGTCATGTGCTTAGAAGAAAGGCTGCCCATAGTCTGTTTGAATATGCTTGGAACACAAATTTTTTCATTTGTTTGAATTTCTATTAAAATGAAACAAATAAAAATCACATAGTCACACTTAACCCTTTTTTTTTCCATTTGCTTTTAACGAAAATTCTTATAAATGGTTTTAAATGGGACAAATTCAAAGTTTAAGGGGCAAAGTGAGAGTTTTCAAAATTTAGAAGCAAAATGTGAATGACTCTAAAATTCAAGGAGCACACGTGAGATTATTCCTAGTTATTATTATGGACATTTTGATAAAAGTTTTTAGAATTATTATCACTGATGCTCCCGAACTTTAGATTTATTCTCAGTTTGCTCTTTGAACTTAGGAATCATTCTCAGTTTGCCCCCTAAACTTTAAAAACTCTCACTTTGCCTCCAGAACTTTGAATTGTTTCCACTTAATCCCTTATATTGCAATTTCTAATAAAAACATACAGAAAAAAAAGAATAACGCAATCACGTGGTCTTTCTGTTTAGATTTCTATTGAAAAGAAATAGATAAAAACCACATGATCACACTTAACCCCTTCTTTTTTCGTTTAATTTTAACAAAAATTACAACAAAAGGGGTTAAGTGAGAACAATTCAAAGGTTAGGGGGTAAAGTGAGAGTTTTTAATGTTTATAAAGTAAATTGACAATGATCCTAATGTTCAGGGAGCACCAGTGAGAATAATCTTTTTTATTTAAATGGTTGTATATTTTGTTATTGTTATATAGGGGAAAGAAGACAAATATCCTATAGAATACACGGGTATGAATTTTTACCCATTATTTTTTATTAATATCGTTTTTAGTCAAATAATTATATTAGTATTAATCATGAATAAAGAGTAATTAAAATCCATACTTATTCACTCTAATAGTAAGTTCAGTAATTTTTTATATAAAGACTCCCAAGCATATAAATATATATATATATATATATTATTTTCATTTTCAAAGAAGATGCAAACATCGAATTTTAATTTCAAAAATTCATCCTCAACAAATTAAATCACCAAATATTTAGAAAAAACGCAAGAAATAAAGGAAAGAATGAGCAAACTTACTGTCAATAGGATTAAAATTACTAATATTTCCCCATGTTAGTATGTTACAGCCATTGGGAGTGATTCAACAATAAATTTACAATGAAGATTGATTTTGTTTCTCTAATTTTTCTTTTTGGCAGAAAATTTCTAACCCTAACTACTTCAACATAATCCTTTTTTTATTTACGCATTTGAATTTTTAATCTCTTTTTTAATAACCTGGGGTTTTTGAAGGGTATTTTACGATAATGCCCTCCTCAGATAGGTCATTTAGGTGACACATGGTGAATTCTGTCGCTCAGTGTAACGGAAGGGACAACATTGTTAACGGAATAAAATTCGAGGGGAGAGGATGTTACATTTTAAAATTCAGAGGGCAAAGTGTTACAAGGGGTATAGTTCAGGAGGAATTTTTGAAATTAATCTTTATATTTTATTAATATCCTTTTTAGTCAAATAATTATATTAGTATTAATCAAAAGTAAAGAGTAATTAAAATCCATACTTATACACTCTAAAAGTAAGTTCAACAATTTTCTATATAAAGACTCCCAAGCATATACATAGAGTATTTTCATTTTCAAAGAAGATGCAAACATCGAATGTCAGGTTTGTTTGGTTAGGGGAAATGAAAAGGAATGGAAATGAATCAATGTTCATTCTCATGTTTGGTTGGTTTTAGGAAAAAGAATGACCATTTAAAATGGAATGACTTTTTCTTTAAATGGGTGAATCATCATTCATTCCTCAGATAAGAGGAATGCCCATTTCAAGCTCTTTTAATTTTCTTTTCCATAATTACCCATAAATATTATAATTATAAATATTATTATATTAATATTTTTAATTATATTATAATGTAATTATATCTTATAACATATAATGTAATATATTAAAATTATATACGTATATTATAATATATCACTTTTAATATTATAATAATTATATTTATCATTATAATATAATATAATATAATATATAATATAATTGTGATATTGTAATTAATAATAATTATTATTATTATCTTTATCATTATAAGATAATATAATATAGATGTGATATTGTAATTAATAATTATAATAATAATTGGGATAGTAGTATTTTTTACAAAATTAAATATAATAATTATATATTTTATAAATAATATAATATAATTTTATTTTATTTTATTTTATTTTATAAGATATAGATGTGATGTTTTC